CTGTTAAGGACCTCCAAGCTCAACATGCACAATTTCAAGAGACTCTTCTGAATCTGGCACGTGAACAGAAAGATCTGATGGCGCTCGTCACCAAGAAAAAGAAGACTAAAAAGCTGGCTATTATCCTCAATATGGGGAGAAGATTCAAAGGTCCTGCTCAACCGGTTCAAGTGAACGACATTTCCTCTGAGGAAGACGACAACCAAGAAGATGATGGTAGAAGTATCAAACCTGAAGGTAGGAATAACCAGGTTTCTGAAGAAAAGACTACTCCAATGAAAAATATCCTCCTGCAGATGACAAGTACAAGCAGTTGGAAGACCGTCTCAAAGCTATGGAAATCCATAAAGTTCCTGGATTAGATTTTGGAGAACTAGGTCTGATCCCGGGGGTGGTCATCCTTCACAAATTCAAGGTCCCCATCTTTGCTAAATATGATGGGGTCTCTTATCCCAAACTTCATCTGAGGTCGTATGTTCGAAAGATCCAACCTCATACTGTTGACCGGAAATTATGGGTCCATTTCTTTCAAGAAAGTTTGGCTGGCACTCAACTTGAATGGTTCTATCGGCTCGAAGGAACGAAAATTAACACATGGGAAGACTTGGATGCTGCTTTCTATAAGAAGTATCAATATAGTGCTGACCTTGCACAAACTCGAGTGCAACTGCAAAACATGTCCATGGGCTCAAATGAAGGGTTCAAGGAATATGCACAAAAATGGAGAGATTTAGCTGGAAGGGTGCAACCTTCATTGTCTGACCGGGAGCTGGTAGATATGTTCATGGGAACTCTAACATGCCCATTCTTTAATCTGTTGATTGGAAGCTCTTTGTCTGTTTTTACAGAGCTGATTCTGACTGGAGAAAGAGTTGAAGGTGGTATTAAGAGTGAGAAGATTCTGATGGCTACATCTTCTAATGTTGTGAAGAAGCCATTCAATGGTAAAAAAAGAAGAAAATGATGTCTATGGCCAGAGGGGCCATAGTAAAAATGACCGCCATCAGTCGGTGGGAGCGATATTGATTAATCTGGCGCCTATTCAACAACAACAGGGAAATCAATGAAGGTCAGACGCTCTGTAAAGGAAGTTTACTAAGATCAACATGCCTTTATCTCAGGCATCGCAACATTTGTTAAAAGCTGAACTCATTTCACCGTGGTATCCTCCTTAGAATCCCAACACATCCGCTCCTAAGTAAAATCCGAATGTGAAGTGTGCCTATCATTCTAAAAGTTCTGGGCATGACACCAATAATTGCCGTGCCCTGAAAAACAAAATTCAGGACATGATTGATAATAAGGAAATTGAGCTCGAGCCTTCGGAGACTCCGAATGTGATTACTTCACCTATGTCTAAGCATGACAAAGGCATAAGTTCTATTGAAGATGTTCTATATATTACCACTGTAGGTGATGTGGTTACTCCTCTCTCAACAATAAAAAGAATATGTTACAAGTCGGTTTATTTCCTGGTGAAACAACCGGTTGAAAATCATCAAACAATAAAGTCGCCATCGAACGTCTTTTATCCCACATGTAGGGAAAGTTAAACATTGAGAAAACCTGAGAAGGGAGAAGTCACGGTCTTGCGACCGAGAGATCGGGTAAGGGAGTCTGTTACGCGAGAGGAAGGTATTAGCACCCTACATGCCCGTAGTACTCTACAATATCCACTCTTGTTATCTATCTTATGGGTGTGTTTAATATATGCTTACTGTTTACTATACTACTGAAAGGAGAATGCATGCCAAAGAAATGAGAAAAAAATGTAGGGAAAATAAAGTTGTGCTCGCTTGGGCCCTACCCCAATGCCTACGTATCCTTTTTAGGGAATCAGAGCTACCGTAGTTCGGCTTACATGTTTTTGTTTGTTTTGTATTTTTTTATGGATAGTGTTAATTCCGCCTTCTACCACAGCTCGTCCTTGGAGACTTATGCGTTGGCACAGAAGTAAATTAATCGTGTCCTTACCTGAAAAGGGTTTTAGAGAAAGGTGCTCGAGCGCACAAAATGATTTGAGTTGGTTTGTATTTTGTTGCAGATAACGACTAGTTGACCTCAAGAGAGAGATATTAGCCACTGTTCTACTTATCCATGAAAGGGGTCTTTGAGACTTGAACCACACCTAGACTTGAGATGAAGAACAATAAGATCGAGAAGAGACCCGCTTATCATTTCCCATACTAAGCAAAGGCGTGATTCTCATCAGTAGCTTTAAAGTGTTTTGAATTTTGAAAAGGAAATGAGAAGTTTTTTGTTTTAGGTGCATATGCAAAAATGGGATAGAAAAGTCAAAGGGATACTAGCCTATTTCTAAACCTAATTTTATTATGCACCATGACCCTAAAGTTGGAATTTCAAAGGAATTCTACTTAATGTTCGCGTGTTTGGATTTAGGAGCCTAATATTTAATTTTAGTTCAATTAAATCGAAGATTAAATTTGAACCAAAATCACCTAAGGGATCATGAAAGACTATACAGACAAATAAAACTAAGCAATGAGTATTAAAATATTGCATACAATCCATACCAAAATTCGCAAACGAAATACATGACATAAAATGAGTAAAACTAGGGATAAAAATTGACTAAAAGGTTAGGAAGAGGGAAATAAATTCCTAATTAATTTCTAAAATGCATTATAATATTTTTTTACCATTTTTATTATGTATTTTGTTATAAAAAAAGATCATGAAAGAAACGACTTAAAAATAATCATAAAAGAGAAAATAAGAGAAACAGGGGGTGCTAACTTGAATCTGGTGGTGTGATACAAAAGCAAATGAATAAGTAATGAGTCCAATGAGAATTAATCCCATGAGCCTTTTTTGTACATGTCCCAAGAGCTACAAAAAAAATGATGATGAGCTTGAGAATTAGGAACTTCCGGCCCAGCCCTTGATCCAATAATCAACAACTTTTGTTAAAACTAAAAACGGGCTAAGGTGGTTCGGTCCATAATCACCTTTTTTTACATAAAACATGCTAGCTTCAAAAAAATCCCAAGTAGCCCCAGCTGACTTCCAAAACCCAACGACATATGCAAATGGACTTGTGAAATTAGGGTTCAGTACTCGTGAGTCTTCATAGAAGCGGCATCGATCCTTTCTCCTCTTCTCCACCCTTCATTCTCCAATCAAAGACTCCTCACAAAATCTTCAATTTCAACGCCATAATCACGGGATAACCCAACTCGTCTCAGCCTGACTTCTTTAAATCCACCCTGGATTTACTTCAATTCCTCATCAAACACTCTGGATTTCTTCAACACAAATAAACCCTTAAAATATGAAAACCAAATTAAATGTAGGTAATGGTCGATTTACTGTGAAACTTTAGGGTAATGGTTCTTGAGACGCTAATCCACGGTATGGTAACAAAGAGGACAAAGACAAGGACTTAACTCCAGTGACAGTGCGGAATTCTCGGTTACGTCAATGAAAGCACCTCAGGTGAGCTTGTTCCTCTAACTCTCCTTGTTCTTGATCCCTCTACTTCTTCTGCATATTTGTGTGCACTTTCATGAGTTGTGTTGATGCGTAAATGATGATATCAGTGCATTGATGCGAGGACTTAACAATGTTGTGTATTGACGATGTTGAATAACTTGTCGTGGTTGCAGGGAAATCACTGAAGATGAGGATGTTGGAGGTGTCGATGCAACGAGGTTTTTACAGGTTTCGTGGATGTTTGAAGCAGAGGGAAGTTCTCAAGGGAAAGAAAGGCTCTGTGATGAAGATTGCAGGAATTGGATTTGAAGCTGAATGAAGAATGAAGATTCTTCAGAAGGATATTGAATAAATGATGATTGAGGGAGAGTAGAGAGGTCAGTTTTTTCTGGTTTATGAATCGTGTTATATTCTTTTTCTCTTGAATAATGATCCTTCTCCCTCCTTTTCTGGTGTTCTGTTATATATATTTTTCATGGGAGCTGGGATTCAGTTAGAAGCAGTTAGGTGATTCAGTTAGAAAAAAAAGGTTAGCTAGTTAGTTTTCTGTTGGGAGGCATTTTCAGGATCGACAGTTAGAAGGTTAGAGGAGTTAGTTATAGGTTTTGATGGATCCTGTTAGAAGTTGGTTAGAGGTTTTAGATGGTTAGAAACTGTTAGGATATTGTTAAAAATCAGTTTGGAAATTAGTTATGCAAAATGTTAGGATGACAGTTAGGCTATCTATTAATGTTATAGGTTAACAGTCAGGAAGAATTAAAATTTGGAGGTTTATAGGAATTTAACTGAGAATAGCTAGTTATCGGAAATATGATTTTTTGTTGGTAAATGGTTTGGTTAAAGCTAGAATTTGGAAAAATGGTCAGAGGGTGAGCCATTTGAACCCTTAGATCTATTGCAATCAGTTGGGGATATATGGTGAGATTGGATTGGTTCTTGGTTAGTTAGAAACTGTTAACAATTAGTTTTTGTAGGGAGATGGTTAAAAGGGGTTTTGTTACAGTTAGAGTTCTGTTAGAAACCTCTATTTGGTTTTTTGTTAGGGGTTGGTTAAAACAATTAGAGGGTTAAGGAATTCCGTTAGAAGCCGTTAGGCAATTAGTTGGCTGTTTGTTAGTTATGTTTAGAAACAGTTAAAATACCTGTTAGAAAAATGGTTAAGAAAAGTTTGGGGAAGAATCCTGTTTTTGACAGTTAAGGGAATATGTTAAGGGTTAGAAAAAGTCAGTTATGAAGAGGTTTGGAGTTTGTTGAAATTCTGTTTTATTATTTTTATATTTACAATTAAGCGGCTGTTTTGTAAGGTTGATTACAGGCTTTATCAGTTTTGGAAGTAATGAACTGGTTTTCGTAGCATGATTTTGAAGATCAACCATTTAGATATGCTCTTAAATGAATTTGGTAGCTTTTATTTTTTACTCAAGTGCCACTGTTTTGGTCTCTTTTCTTGATTGTGTAGGCTGTTTTGGACAAAATTTTCTTGATTGCAGGTTTGGAATTTGATGGTGCGAGGATGAAAGTCCAAGTCTAAATAGAGTTTGGTTGGCTTACAGGATGGCTGTAAGAGCATATGAAAGCACTGTGAATAAGACAAGAATTCCAAGATAGATTGGATGAAATAGGTTTGGGACAAATGATGCAGCTATATTTTTTTGTGTAATGTACCTTTGTGTACTTGTATAGGATTTTGAACTTTTAAATATGATGGGATTAGATGGTGTAATGTAAAGGCTGAAACTTTGTAATAGGAATACTTTCTTTGTAATATTCGTAATAGAATGTAATAAGTTTTGAATGGTCTTTGTAATGGAAGCTTCTTGTAACGTGTTCTTATCAAAATCAAACTTTGAACCAATTTCAATTTATGTATTCTCAATGTCTTCCTCTTGTGTAAATGGAATCAAAGGTATTAAAGTATCATCCGTGTTTTGATGACTTCAAGCGTTTGAATGACCCACACCTTGTACCACTTTGATCCGCCCATTATTTCATAAGCAAACTCTAGAATTTTAGTTGAGATAGTTGAGTGAAAGTAACATGTCGCGTAAGAATGCCAAATGATCGCATGGAATACTATGCCTTAGTATACCCACAAACTTTACTTGACGAAATACAAGTGTATTTTTCTTATGAAACCATCTCTATATGCCTTATGACCCAAGTAATGAACACCAACATTAACTCGAGAAAAAAAAGATCAGTTGGGATCCTATCTCTATGTATGAGATCTTTTGAATAAAGATTTTGAAGCAAACCCTAATTGTCATGATCGTCAAGGAAACAACTTGAATTGCCCTTGAATGTAGACGAGAACTTCAAAAGCAAGGATAAACCCTAATTACCAAGCCCTTGATCCAGATGTCAATTTTATTGATTAATGAAGCATGATATGTTAGATGATTTAATGGAAGTTATGTACATGAGAAAAGTGCGAGACATAAGCCAGATAAAAGTGAGAGGGTAGGAAAAATTTGGGGTATTACACTGGGCTGTGGTAAAGAATGTTATTGTTGTGCAGTCCAACCCAATGGTTGCAGGTTACTGAAAGAAGGCGTTCAACGCCTGATGGATGAACACATAATTTTGATCAAGAAAGTTCCGTCGACTGAGAGTTTATGTCAAGATTTGTCTGTAGTATCTGGTACTCCTGTCAGGATCACTTCCAAATGTCCTATAAGGATTCCCACCAGTTCGGAAGCTGCTCCTTTGATTATCACCACACCTGGACCCATCCCATATTCCTCGGAAAAGGCTATTCCATGGAACTATGGATCTGACGTCTGCTACCATGGCGTCAAATAAGAGTTATCTGATGAAAATACTTAAGAGGTTGGTCCCAACATTGACAATATTGCAGGGACCAACAAAGTTACTAGAAGAGGAAGGGTTTTATCCATAGAAATCTCTCCAAAAAATGTTGCTACACCTGTTCGAGTTGCCGTTACCAAGTCAGTTGCCGAGGCACGAGGTAAAGAGCCAATGATAGAGCCTGCCCCGATGGAGGCGCCTAAAGAATTCAAAGTTGAAGACACCTATAAGCAAGATTTGGAAGAGGTATTGAAGATCATCCGCAAGAGAGACTATAAAATTATTGAACAGCTGGGGAAAACCCCTCCCAAAATCTCCATGTTATCTTTACTGTTGTGTTCTGAAGCCCATGCGTAAGCTTTAGTAAAATTCTTGAAGACTGCTCACGTGTCACAAGAAATTCTAGCTGATTAATTTAGAAGTAATGTGGCTAGCTTAACAACTGATAGCAGATTAGGCTTCTCCGACGCTGACTTGACTCCAGAGGGGAGAGATCATAATAGGGCCCCTGTATGTCTCCATTGAATGTAGGGGCACTACGTTGGCTCATGTGTTAATTGATACTGGCTCTTCACTGAACGCTCTTTCAAAAGGCACTCTTGACAGACTGGATTGTGAAGGGGTTATTCTAAAACCCAATAAAATTTTTGTCCGAGCCTTTGATGGGTCCAAAAGAATGGTACATGGAGAAGTGGACCTTCCAATCAAAACGGGTTCACAAATATTTGAGTCCACCTTCTATGTAATGGACATCCGACCAACTTATTCTTGTCTATTGGGACGCCCTTGGATCCATGGGGCAAGTGATGTTGCCTCCACCTTGCATAATAAATTAAAGTATCCTGTAAAAGGAAAGGTTGTTACTGTCTGTTGAGAAGAGGAGTACATGGTCAGCCACCTGAATTCCTTCCGGTACATGGAGAAGGACGGGGAATTCATCGAGACTCCCTGTCAGACTTTTGAAGTGATTTCCTCTAATGCTGTTAAAGATGTTTATTCCATTCCAAAGACCACTAGGATTCCATACAAGATGTCTTCTTTGAAACATGCCAAAGCTACTTTAGAAGAAGGTGGTTATACTATTTGGGGTCAGCTTCCTGATATCCCTTATAAATCTGACAATTTTGGGTTGGGCTTTACTGCAGAAGGTCAAAGGGCTTTTCTTCACGCTTGTGCTGGAAGACCTCCATTCCGTATTAGCAACAACAGAGTCAACACCATAGAAGATGCTGACAGTGATCGTGACTTCGACAGCTGGATATTCCCTACCATCGGCAACAGACTCGACAATTGGAAAGCAAAGACATTATCTCTATCTCCTTTAGTCAGGAGTAATAGCTACATTTCTATCTTATTTTATTTAAAATATTTTGGTTATGTAATAAATAATGACTTTAAACCTTGTGTCTTACCCGGGGCACAATGATTCATTTGTTAAGGTTTGATAATTCATAAACATTGCTCTTTTAATAAAAACATTGGACGTTCTGGATTCAAATTTTGTGGTCCCTATTTTTATTTTACTTATTATATTTTCAAAATAGCTATGTGTTTTTACACACACACACACACACACACACACACACACACACACACACACACTACATTGTAGATCCTCATCCACTCTAGATCTCGTTGATAACGATTTTTCTATTGCCGCTTATGACTTTGAAAATCCGATCTACCAAGCCGAGGAAGAAGGTGAGGAAAATTGTGAAATACTTGGAGAACTTGCCAGACTATTAATACAAGAAGAAAAGGCTATCCAACCACATGAAGAGATAGTTGAAGTTGTAAAATTGGGTACCGAGACAAACAAAAAAGAAGTCAAGATACGCGCCAACTTAGAGAGCAGTGTCAAGAATAGATTAATCCAGATGTTGCATAACTATGTTGATATCTTTGCTTGGTTATGCAAAGACATGCTAGGGATCGATACCGATATTGTGGTTCACCTTCTACCAATGAAAGAGGGTTGTTCTCCAATCAAGCAGAAGGTTTATCGCATGCGTCTCGAGATGTCCGAAAAGATCAAGGATGAGTGTTGTACCCCAAAATTTTCCTTCACTTTTCTCAAGACATTTTCTCACAAGGATTTTCAAAAGTTCAAGATTGCACAAGTACAATTGGATTTTTGATGCCCCATATAGTTTCCATGGATCATATTGGGCTTTCAAGCATCAAATCAAAGAAGAGAAAGCTTGCTTAGATTTCCCAAGATTCGACTGGACTTTGGCCTCCTATAAGCTTACTTCAATTTCCCAAGCTTCAACTGCACTTTGGACTCCTTCAAGCTTGCTTCGATTTCCCAAGCTTCAACTGCACTTTGGCCTCCTTCAAGCTTACTTTGATTTCCCAAGCTTTGACTGGACTTTGGCTTCCTTCAAGCTTGCTTCGATTTCACAAAGCTTCGACTATACATTGGCTGTCTTCATGCCTGCTTCGATTTGTTGTACCCCAATTTTTGCCCCTAATATCCTTTCATTATACCATGTTGATTAATTCACAATAAGATCACACTAGAATTCTTGGTTCCCCTTCCTATATGTAGCTTTTCCCTTTTGAGGAATCACCAAGCACCTTGACTTATGTTCTTTTGTGATCATGAATATTGTTTTTGTCTTGATTTCTTTTTTAACTAAATAAAATGCAATGCTGGTTTGCCTTGCTTGTTATCCATGTAGGTAAAGACAATGGGATTTAACAAGTTACCCCATGGGTTCATGAGTTTATTTCCATGCCCTAGTCAATAAAGCTTGAAAAGTTCAAACCTCACCATTGGAATTAGTTTTGGAAGAATTGGCATGGCAAGGTTGTTTTGGTTCATCACATTTCAAGGTTATCAAATTTGGTTGAAAAGCACAAGGGATTGATTGGAGAAGTTGTCATGGTTGGATAATATTTTATTCTATTTGGTCACAAGTGCACATTTCTCTCAATGTTCAAGATATGAAAGTGGTTTTGGTGGATATTAGTTCTCATTATCATCCTCAACAACTTCTATTTCAAATCATGTGTGTTGGTACAAGAAGTTTGTTCAAAATTGTCAAAGTTCCTCAAAGCATTCTCTTAATCTAAGAAGCTAGGGTTTTGAACTTCAAAGGAATATATCTTGCTCATCTCTTGGTATTTTTGAGTGATTCCAAAGACATGTTTCTCTTCAAAGGGTTATTAACAAATCACTTCAAAAGTTACAAGGAATTGTCATGAAGAAGAGACTCAATGAGGAAGAAAGATTACAAGTCCTCCAGATGAATCCCCAATTTTCCATGTGTGACTTCAAATGATCATAACTTGGTCAATTTTTATCACCATGATCCCATTATTTTTCCATAATGATCTTGAAGGTGTGAACTTTATGCTTTCTTTTATGTGCAAAGTGAGAAAATGGATGGAAGTTTCCTTAAGGATGCAAAAGATTATAGGTTATTTCATGATTTTTTTGCCAACTTCAACAATTCATAACTCTCTCAATTTTTGGAGATTTTGAATTGTTCAAGTTTAAAAATGTCATTCAAGAGATCTACTTCATACCATCTTTTTTGGTCAAGAGCAAATTCCAAGTGGAAGGCCATGTTTGGATGCAAGACATTATAGGTCATTTTTGAAGAAGAACTTGAAATATTTCTAAGTATGGAAACTCAACTCTTTTTTTTCCAACTTTGAATCAACACAACTTTTAGCTCAAACATCCATTTGATTCCATTCTTTTTCCATTTCAAGGCTTGTAAACTCATCTTTCTAAAGCATCAAGAATCATGCCTTAAGACCCCTTGAGTTGAGAATGCCATTGTTTCAAAAGTGGTAACCTGGAATTGAAGTTTCATTGCAAGTCAGAATTTGAATTTCATGTTACAACCTCTAAACCTCAAATTAGAACGCGCTTTGGGTCTAAAAATGATTAGCAAACTTTCCCAAGTGGATTAGTGCATCAAAACACGCGTTTTGGATGAGTTTTGACAAAAGAGAAGTCACATTTTCTTCATGATGCAGACCCACACGAATTCCCTCCAAATTGTATCATTCACCCTTCCTTTTGAAACCATTT